CTTTAAATGCCCAAGCCTCCAATCTCCAAATCCCAAACATTCAAGCCTTTACATCCCCCAGCCTCCAACTTCCAACTTCCAAATTTCCAACAACAAAAGAAACAAGAAAGAGATCTTCCAGCAAAACAATAGTACAATCTACGTTCGGCGAGCGTGACAATGAGAAACAGTCTCGCGTTACTCACGAAAAGCCCGGAATCGGCGATTAGTCGGAATCTGTTTTCAAAAGATCACGCTGTTTAACAACAACCTCCCGGTTCGCAGAAAACTCGATATATATAACCGTGATATCGAATTCTTCGTCATACGAAATAATTGAATTTGTCAGTGAGCGAGATAAAGCCGCGGCGACCATTCGCGTTCGGATAAACACGACGGTTTAGACGCCGCTTCTTTTTTTTCCCTTTAATTCCCGTCCGTTTCGATCGGTGGCCGCGACCTCGGTTATCGCGTGTCCACGATCGGAGGACTGAAATCTCGCCGCGCGTCGCCGAGACGTCTCGATTAAAGAGGATCAGCAGCGGTGAATCTGAATTTCAAATCGGCTCTCGGTGATCAACCAATGAAAACAATTTGTCCCGTGGGATGATTCAATCTTTGCACTTGAGCGGCGGCTGCGTGACATAATAATGTTGTTCCCTGCGAGCGTCTGGCAACAAGCCTTGCGTTCGAATTAATGAAATAACTGAAAAAATAATTTATAAATCAGAAAACCGGATCGTGCAATTGGCGATATAACGAAGCTCGTATCAGAGAAACTTGAATTATTTTTTTAATCGATAATCTTATTAGTATTATAATTATTTAAATGTAAAACATATTTTTTAGCGAACGATATTGCTAAAAACACAGTTGTGCAATTAGCGAAGTCGTAAAGGTGAACTGTTAAACTTTCGTTGGTATCAAGGTTCGCCATCGAACTTGCACTTTGAACTTTAATTCTACACGCAGCTGAATTATTTCCATTCACGTTCGCCACGGAGAAATATAAGCGATGCACGAAAGGCTAAAGATTCTCGCGGCGGCGAACGCGTCGCGAGGATAAAAAGCCGATTCTGTCGCCGTGAAAGCGATTGCCGATAAGGGGCCGGGTTGCCGCGGGTCAAGGGAAGTTTTCCGATAACTGACGTGATCCTCGAGGACACGTGCAACGATACTCCCTCGCGCCCGTTCGAATCGTCGTCGGTTTCGTTGAATTGCTGTTAGCTTGCTGTTAATTTCAATCTTACCTTTCAAACGTCGCACCCGTTATCGTTGAAATTGTAATTGAAGCCAGTCCAAACACGATGTAAATCCGACTAGTTTCACCGACTGGCTGTAATTAACAAAATTAAGCTCGTCACTAGAAATATTCGACACTTCCCGATGAATACTTTCCATAAATAAATTAAGAAACATTATACAAAACTCAATATTATATACAACACTCTGCAATTTTGTTATATCAAATGAAATGGTCACCAGAAATATTCAGCACTTTCTGAGACAGGCGACACTGTTTGAAACCAGTGAGAAAACATAAATTAAGAAACAAAGCTATATAAACATTTCACGTATCGATGCATTATACAAAACTTATTACATATAACACTGCAATTTTGTTACATCAAATAAAATAATCACTGAGAATCACTCGATTGCAAAGGGTAAAAGTTCGTTTCCTCAAAGTCGATGAAACTAGTCCGATTTACATTGCGTTTGAAGTTATTTAAATCACAACAATCTCAACAATCCACTGACACTACGTTTAAAAGTAAGATCGAAATGAGTGAAATTCCATTTCGTGTATTGCATGTTCTATTCGACGGACTTTGAGAGTGCCGCGCCTCGACCTTCGCTTGGACTGTCTGTCCAGCTTCTTCTCATTCTACTGATTCTCCGACTTCGTCAAACTGTGCTCGCGCTTGCCCCTTCAGTTGAACACTTTGCCACGTAAACGCTCATCAAAACTCCCGTGTACTCGAAACAGTTTTCTCCATTAACCAGAAACTGAGAAATCAAGATTCTTCTTAATAATTGCGTACCGGCAACGAGGAATCTCTTTATATAAAGACACTTAGCTATGCAACTTTGCTAATTACCGCAGCATTGAAAAAATATAAAATTTCATTCGAATTGATTATCTATTTAAAATATATCACATAACAATATGATATCTGAGTTTTTCTATGTATAGTGATATAAATTGACCTCATGAAAATTGCCATCACAATTCAGTTTTCTGAAAATTAGCCGGAATGTGTTAATAATTGCTCCATCTTTCTTATGTCTCGTATATCCAACAAAATTCGGTTCGTTCGATACGTCACGAAAGAAATTAATGTCCACGTTTCTGTAAGAAATGTCACTCGAATTCGGTGTGACATTTAGCATTAGTACTACTAGTACTACTGGTGCATCCATCTTCGCAGTCGAATGAGAAGAAATCGGTTTAACGAACGCGACCTCGCCGCGATGTAAACAACCAGGACGGACCCGGCGCGGCCACTTGTTTGTAAACGTGTTTTATCTTCCCTCGTGAAAGGGAAATCGCCATTGAAAGCGAGATCTCCTCTCGCCGAGGCGTAATCGGCCGCGGAACTATCGGCGAGCCGCGATTCGCTCTTTCGGCGTTAATACTCGCGCCGTGAATCTTGTTTGTCAACCGTCACGCCGGCTGAACGCAGTGTCTTTTATCCGAGGTAATCTCGTTTCGTTTATAGTAACCCTTTGCATTTCGACATTTCGAGATGAGATTTCTATATTTGCAAGACTGAGTTGTAGACGAATGATTTAATCACTCGAACAGCAAGAGATCAGTGCGTACTTTCCTTTTTCTGTATTCAATTTAGCGATCGATGGATAATTCAGCTTCATCTGCTGAAGCTTTTATTTATTTCAAAGTATCTCCGAGAGTAAAGGGTTAATTGCTTGTCGATTGAGTCACTCAGAAGCCAATGGGCTTCAGTTTAGAAGGGAAAATTAGAGAAATTGAGAAAATTAGTGTTTCGACTTCTGAAATGATCGTACAACATATTATGGAATTTCCTAGAAAACCGAGTAAATCCTTGAATAACTAAAAATAATATTGTTTATTCCAAAGGAAATTCGTGAAAGCTTAGGACTTGAAAAGACGATCTGCGAGAAGCAGAATTCTGTTTTCTTCTATGCATTCTTTCGCTTCTGTGCGAAGTCCTATCGATAATTATACATCGACGTTCCTCGGTGTAAGCAGAATTAGATCGGTATGTAAATACGCGGTTGCGCTGGTCAGTAGCGATCTCGATGACGTCCGAGCGATTCATGAACTGTTTTTCGAGCGGAACTAAACGGGGGGAAAAAGCAGAATTCCTCGGAGTTACGCGACGGTATTAATAAACGTGTAATCCTTGAATTATCCTCGAGTTTCCACCGATCGGAACCTTCATTCATGGAAATTACGCCGCAGGATCCTGATCAGTGCCGCACAAAGTTGCTGATTACGCGATTATGATTAATAGGCCCGTTAGTTGTTAACAATCGTCAACAGAATAATAAATTCTCGGTTTTATTTCTCGCAGTCGTAAACGATCAGGAACGACAGTGGAATTACAACGGAATTTTCCGATGAAAATTTTATTCCCCTCACCGAATGATTTGATTTCTTTTATCTTCCGCAAATAATTCGATTCACTTACGATGCAGCGACTGTCCGAATTGTAATTATCAAACTAAACAATACAATCGTTTACTTCTAATGATCGTAGAATCCTCCGCTCTGCTTCAGTTTCGTCAACGATCCCTCAACCGAAGGGAGATCTGTAAAACGCACCCAGCGGACGAGTTAATTAACGAAACGCCTCGTGCTCTCCGAAAGGAAAATCCCCGCCTCCTATTATGCAAATCTCGCGATCCTAATGGATGAGATGTAAAACCGTAACCCAGTAATCCCGCGGGAAGATGATCCACGCGAAATTGTCGCTCGAGGACTGGTGCGCGATCGTGATTCACCGCGGCAGTATCCGCACCATCGAGTCGAATAACAACGCAATAAACATGTAATTAATTTCCGCTAACGACGCGCCGAACAAAGCGAGCGGGCCGCTTCTGGGGAATCGAAATTTCTCCGAAATCGATCCAGACCTCGAGCGATTCCTCCGTTCGCTCTTGTTCCGAAGATTTCGACGAGATCGATCGAAAGAATCTGACACTTGATCCGATCGATCCAATATTCAATCAATGTTGAGTTTATCTTACAAGTAAATAACATTCAGGTTCGTCGAAATCGATTTAAAATCACCACGAGTCTGTTCCCCCCTCCATTTGTAAGAGTCGCTCGCGGTTCTACGTTTCCGTCGAAAAATGCGAGACAACCGGTTTAGATCTTTTTCTTGTTCGGCCCCTCGTTCATAATAATCAGGAAGCCATCGATGCTTCCCATACAATGCTGCATTGTGAGACGAGTCGTTTGCGTAATCCTGCGTGTTGACTCGTTCGGGAAGAAAGGTCAGGGGTTCAACGCGAGAGGCATAATTGCTCGATGCCGTTGATATGGAAGATCGCGAGGATAACCGGGGACTAAAAGGAACACGAACATCGCGACAGACGTACGAACAACACCACACTTGAATGCCACACTGTAGCGTGTGTCTGTCTATCTATTAGCTGTCTTAGATCTAGATCTAGGCTTAGAGGCCCCTGGATCCCTTCTAGCGACCCTCTAGTCTGTGTACCTTCGACAGAAATCCGATCGAGGACTTCTCGATCGTTCGGTTGATCGAGGTGGCTGAGTGCATCGTTGCCGTGGTCAATTTTCTGACTGCACTCGGTGGTGCTTGTAACTTGATGACACCTCGCAGTCGACGTGTCTCTCAGAAAATTGAGAATGCGAGAGCGAAATTGAAAATTGTCCAGTAACAGGTTCAAGCATTCACGACGATGAACTCAGGACCCATAACCTCTTAGACCCCATGTCTGTGGTTTCCCGTGACGATTCGATAGTCGTAAGGATTCTAGTCGCTGACCGTTGTCACCGTTTCCAGGCACTGTCTATGAGCGAGGAAGTCAGGCGAGCCCTCTACGCGAACAGCGCCGTCTCCTTGGACAACGAAGTGATCGTGCCGGACCTGGTTGGCAACACAGAGATCCTCAGCGACGAGCACAGGGAACAGCTGTGCCGGCATTTGCCCGCCAGGGCGGAGGGCTACCTGTGGACCCTGGTCTTCAGCACCAGCCAGCACGGCTTCAGTCTGAACAGCATGTACAGGAAGATGGCCAAAATCGAGAGTCCCATCCTGCTGGTCATCGAGGACACCGAGGGCAACGTGAGTCAATTGTTGCCAGTACAGTAACTCCCATGGAAATTGCACCAGTTTAACCCTTAGCAGTCTATTTTATTGCAACCTCTACCTTCAACAATTTTTTCTATATTTATTTGTAGTATCACAATTGTACCATTTAAAGGTAACATAATTAAGTTATATTAAGCTGGAATTGAATGAACTAACCGCAAAGGGTTAAAGACACGAATGTTTCGCTGGTGTTTTCATGTTAATGGATAGACGTTCACAGTCTGAATCATTATTTACTCTGGTTGCAGGTGTTCGGCGCGTTAACCTCCTGCGCCCTGCACGTGAGCGACCACTTCTACGGGACCGGCGAGTCGTTGCTCTTTAGGTTCACGCCCAGGTTCCAGGCGTTCAACTGGACTGGGGACAACTTGTACTTTATCAAGGGCAACAATGAAAGTCTTGCCATCGGTGCTGGAGAGTGAGTATTTTGTCTCTGGGTCGTTAGCTTCTACAATTTATTCTATGAAAATCGAGGAAACTGTCTGTGGAAAGAATTATATACGAAATAATTGATGTAGATTCTGTCAAGTGATTACACGATTGACTAAGGGTTTACTGCAGTTACTGCGATATTGTTTGGTACAGTTGTGTAATGGAATCTTTCGTTTACAGTGGCAAGTTTGGGCTGTGGCTGGACGGCGACCTGTACCAAGGCAGAACACAGTCCTGCAGCACGTACGGTAACGAGCCGCTAGCGCCTCGCGAAGACTTCGTGGTGAAAACATTGGAATGCTGGGCGTTCATATAGGACACAGCCGCCTCGTACACGTTGTCGAAAACTACGCCCTCGCCGCAGCCTAATTTGACTTGAACTCGACAGTCTCGTGAAGGTTGATCGTTCCCAGGAGAGATTACAGGAAGACTAGAATTTCTAAGAGACAATTACCAAACGAGATTAAATCGTCTGACGGGTTTAAAACCAGCAACAGTAATCAAGCCGGGTTGGATCGGCGTCGACCTAACCAAGAAGAAGACCGAGAAGAAACCGGATGCAAGTTAAGACTGCAGTGTCTGAGGAGAGAGAGAGGGAGAGAGAGAGAGAGAGGAATTTTTGTGATTTCGCGAACGAATTCTTCCCTGGACGCCGAGACAGGGGAGAGCTTGGGGAAGAGTTAACGATGAAAAGAGAACGGGATGGCGGCACGATGTGATGTTACAACGTCGAACGCCACCGGAACACGTTGACCCACACTGGACAATAACAATTTATCAATTACCGTTTAACTGTCCTATTTGTTTTTCTTTTCTATTTTAAGTTGTCGTATTTATTTTATTTTTTTTATATATATGTATGTATAGAAACGAAGAAACACGCGCGCGTGCGCGTCTCGCTGAACCGCGAGCCGTCAATGTTGATTTCACTGGAGCGCGTGTCGCCGTTAACGAAATTAGAGAAGGATCGACGACGATGATTTGTTATTATTTTCCTTTTTATTCGTTTCTCTTTGATTTTTTTCTTTTCGTTTGCATTTTGTAATTCGTCGATCATCGCTTCGAACTAGTCGTGAGAGTCATGATATCCTTCGAGGTCGAGTGTGATATGCATTTCGCATATGAAACGAGGGACGGGAGGAAAGAATGCGCGGAACGTGAATGATCCGTGGGTGATGAGATTGATGGATAAAAGGATGCCAGAGATGAATGACAATGATGATGATTATAACGATGATGAGGAGGAGGAGGATGATGATGAGGAGGAGTAGGAGAAGGAGGAGGATGCTGATGATAGTAATGATTGATGATAACGCGTACGAAGGAAGGGGAATCGCGTCGTCGAAATCGGACGAGGATGAAATAACTAGAGAAAACGATAGAAACACAAACACGACACCATGAGAAAAAAATGTTAAGCTAACCGTTTGTTGATGTGTAGATAAATTGTAGATAGTGAATGTAAATATATATGTATTTGCCAATCGTGTTAACGGTAAAGAAGTTAATTTTAAAGGAGCATAATAATATACGCTAAAAAAGGAAAAAAAATCAGGAAAACGTTGCAGAAGATGAACACCTTTGTGTAGAGAACTCGTCACAACACGTTACAGTCCTGGACGATGGGACGCACGCTGGTTATACGTCTACACCGTACTACAAGG